ACATGGGATCCGAACCCTCGGCGGGAGTGCCGCCGCGCTCCCAAGCGGCGCACTCTCCAGTGCGCCACCAGGCCAGCCCAATAAATTCCTTTCAAAATTTAGTGCCAGATGGCTGGCTAATTAGCTCACTTGGGACAGCATGGTGCTGGTATCACCAAGTTCAAGGATTCAGATTCCCATATCAGCCAACCGCTAAAAAGACTTTAAAAATCAAAAAAATAAAAATTTAGTGCCAGAAAGTTTCTCTTCTGAAGAACTGCAATGTTTATCAGATAATGAGGCTGATATAACTCAAAATGTTTCTTTTTTGGCATTGGTTGCTGACTTTAAAAATCAAAAAAATAAAAATTTAGTGCCAGAAAGTTTCTCTTCTGAAGAACTGCAGTGTTTATCAGATAATGAGGCTGATATAACTCAAAATGTTTCTTTTTTGGCATTGGTTGCTGATAAGTTAAAAGCTAATTTAATACTCAAGTATAGCAATTAGTTTGGCCTATGGATCTTGTTATCATTTCCCTCCTCTCTATAATTTTTCTAATACTTGCCTCAAATCTTTTTTGAAGGTAATACTAAACTTTGAGAAAGAAGTTTATTTCCAATAAACAATCTAGTTAATAAATTCTAGGCTAGAATTAACCTATGTGGAAAGTTAGATGAATAAATATAACATCTTTTCTCAAAACCATTAAGAGAAATCAGAGTCCCTAAGATTACTGCGTTTTAACTTTACTATATAAATGTATTAAAATACTTCTTCATATCATTATCTTCATTAACAATCAAGAGCAGGTCACTTAAAAACCAATATTGCATATTGTATGTTATCTAAATTACAGAGCTGTTTAACTGTTGCAATCTTAAGTTGCCTAGTCTTTGAGAGGAAACACACACAACCACAAATTAAATGTATTAAAGAGAAGAAACAGATAACTTGGATATTACTAATAGACAGTCAAACTAAGCAGAATGACTTACAGCTCTGAAGGAATAAGTTATTTATATAACACCCCAAATTGATAACTGGAAACAAACTAACACAGAGAAAACAGTATTATTCATCCCATTAGGCTTCAAAAAAAGAAGGAACAAAATTTGCTAGTCTTTATAAACATTGGTAGTAGTTGATTAAAAAAAGATTTTTATTGTCTAGAAAAGCCTACCATATTTCCTTTTAGGAGGCACATTCTGGTAATTTGGGATACAGCATTACTACTCAGCTTTCTGTTAAGTTCTTTCCAAGCACAGCTGACATCCTGTATTTCTTCCAGGCTTTCCAGAGTCATGGTCACAAACCCCTTAAGGAATAAAAGTCACACTATGTTTGGGAAAAAAATCAATCAGCAGTAAAATGAAGTTAGAATTCTACTACCCTTCATGACTTAACTGTGCATTTCTTATAAGCCAATACTATAATGTGGCTGCAAAAAATTTTAAAAGACTTCTTCAAAACTATAGTAATCCACCCTTATCCTTAGGGGATACATTCCAAGACTCCCCAGTGGATGCCTGAAATGGAGAATAGTACAAAAACCCTATATATACTATGTTTATTTCTATATATACCTACTTATGATAACATTTAACTAAGCACTTATCACACGCTGTGGCTGTAGCTTTCATAGTTATAGGTGTGACAGCAAAACTAGCACGAACTGTTTTCCTTCACAATTTCATGGACAGAAAATTCATTCTTACTGTAGATCTTAGAAACCTCAGCATACTTTTTTCTTTCCTTACTAACGTAAGAATTTCACCTTTTCACTTAAAGGAAGCACTTTCTGGCTTCTCTTTGGCATATCCAAATTGCCAGCATCACTTCTATTGCACTTTGTGGCCATTATTAAGTAAAATAAGGGTTACTTGAATACAAGCACTGTGATACGGCCACAGTCGATCTGATAACCAAGATAGCTACTATGAAACTAATGGGTGGGTAGTGAATACAGCCTGGCTACACTGGACAAAGGGATGATTCACATCCTGGGCAGGATGGAGCTGAGTGGTGAGATTTCGTCACGCTCCTCAGAATGGCACACAATTTAAAATTTATGAATTGTTTATTTCTGGAATTTTCAATGTGATATTTTCAAACTGAGGTTGATCACAGGTAACAAACATGGAATACAAAACCGCAGACGATGGGGGAAACTACTATATTTTAATAGAAGACTAAATAGATCACTGAAAGTACCATTCTTATATGCATTGCTATAAAGACTACATTTGATTCTAAACATCATGCTTTAAGAGAGAATTAAACAAACCAGAGCATGAGAAAGATAGAAGATAGTGAAGAATTAAGGAAATGTTACAGGAGTCAAAGTTAACTTGGAGTGGAAAAACTTATAAAAGGACATAAACTTCTTTAAACTTTTTAAAGACTATTACATAAGCAAAAATTACTTGTTCTGTAAAACCTCACTGGACAAAAAGACCAACATGAAGATACAGATAGGCATTCATCTAACAAATATTTATTGAGTGCCCCCTATTCATGTGCCAGAGACTGTACTAGGTTGCTAGAGATTCAACAGTAAATAGCCTTACCAGCTGGGCAGCCACCAAAGACAAAACAAAATAAACAGAAAACAGTAAATAGTCCTTTCTCTCATGGAAGTTACATTCCGGAGGGGGTGGGGACGGTGGGGTGGTAGTAAACAGTAAACAAATATATAGAATATCAGACAGTAATAAGCATCTTGAAGAAAAAAATAAAGCAGGGCTAGGGAATAGAGAGTAGAGGGAGGAGTAACCTATTTTAGAGTGAGTGATCCGAGTGATCAGGAAAGACCTCTCTGATATGGTGATATCTGAGCAAAGACCAGAATGAAGGAAGAAGCCACATGGCTACTAGAGGAGAAGAACATTCATGCCAATGAAAGTAAATGCAAAGGCCTTGTGCAGGAATAGGTTCATGTTTGAGGAAGAGCAAATAGGTTAAGGTGGCTGAAACAAGAAGGGAAGAGTGTAAGAGGCGAGATCAAAGAGGTAGCAAGAGGAAGACCCTGTAGGACATTCGTGATAAAGACTTTGGATTTTGGTTTAACCTATAAAAGAAATTTCAAATCACTAATACCCTGTTTCTAAGATATTAATCAGAGAGTAGAAGGTCCATCTGCCAAAGTAGGATTCTTTTACTGGGTAAGAGTTGAGACTAAATGATCTCTTAGCACTAAAAGTCCATCTTAATATTTTCTTAAGAAGTATGGTTTAGGGGGCTGGCCAGTTAGCTCAATCAGTACAGCATGGTGCTGATAACATCAATGTCAAGGGTTTGGATATCCCCATACCAGCCAGCTGCCAAAAAACAAACAAAAACAGAAGAAAAGAAAAAGTGTGGTTTAAATATTGTCTTGAGACAATCTGTTGTTATTAAGGATATCTGCTAAGTGCTAAAGTATCACCCCACAATTACTAATTACAGAGTAAAACATACCTTTACAATTGGAATATATGGCAGTGTCCATCTTTAAAAAAATGATCAAACTAAGCATTACTAGTAACGGAACAATCTGACAAGTACACAATATTACCTATAAGTGGTCTTGCCAAAAACGTTTAACCTGAGTATAAAATCAAGCTCTGACATTACTTCCAGTTTCCAGAAAAGACTGGATAAAGGCAAAAGTTAAATAATGCATGAAGAAAAAAAATTGAGGCAAATCCAGAAGGTGAGATATTCTACCAAACAACTGACCAAGACTCTTCACAAAGTCAATGTCACGAAAAATAAAAAAGGTAGAAAACAGATCCAGACTAAAAGAGACTAAAGAGGTATAACAAATAAATGTAACATATGAACATTAACTGGGTCCTATTTTTTAAAAAGATACATAACACACATGTATGTTTATGTATATATATGGAGAAATAGAGTTGAGTGCAGTAAATTACTTCCAGAAAAATGACATTTGGCTAAACTATTAACATCTGCCAGGTAAAACCATTAGAATACCTAGCTGCACTCATCTGTGCTACATCAAATAAATCACATGCAAGTTAATCTGCCCTGTCCCTTTTGTTCCCTCCTCCCACCACAGTGATAGGCTGCCCAAAATTAATCTAGCCTGTCATTCAAAAATCCTGCCAGCAGGCTCATAGATGTCCCCAGGACCAGACTCTCTCCAAGACATCAGAGAGCTCTCTTAATGATAGATCCCCTCGCCCAGGGACTCCCCACATTTATACCCAAGTAATAAATATTTGAACTATTGCAACCAATGGCCCTGATGTGATATGTTTTGACATATGACACCAACATGGCAGTGAGCCAGGTCAGATGGTGTTGCGTGCGTGCACACACAAACACACACACACACACATACAGGCAGTCCTTACTTTGCATGCTAATATGTTAGCTGTACAGAATCTGTTTCTTACTTTGCATGGTTCCATGACAACTTATAAAATGAAGAATAGGTTCTGGTACGCAAGTTTCAGTTAACACAATACTGTGCAAAGTGAGTATTTCCTGTATTTCTCTCCAGATACATAAACAGAGACACAGACATTTTTTGGATAATGAGGAAAATCTGAATATGGACTAGATATCAGATGATGATACAGAACTACTGTCAATTTTCATAGATGAGATTATGGTATTGTGATTATGTGGTAGACTATCCTTATTCTTAGAGGATGCATATTGAAATATTTAGGGATGATAGCATAATGTTTCAACTTTCAAATGGCTTAGCAAAAAAAAGTATAAACATATAAAGCAAATGTTGCATGATATTAAGAGCTGTCAAATCTAGGTGGATGGTATATGGTTATCACACTATTCTTTCTATTTTTCTGTAGGTTTGAAAATTTGGAAGAAGTGGCTGTCAAAAAAGTATTGAGGGGTTGAGAAAAATGAGGAGACCAATTTCTAATACACCAAAACATTTTTTTTCTGCACAGAAAGCACAATATATATTAAAGGAATTAAACACAATACTCAGTAATCCACTATACAATATCTGCTGTGGTTCAATTTTAACCATCCCCAAACCACGTACAATTTTCTCACAGATTTTTTACCTTATCAGAGGTTATCAAAGATCGTGGTTCAAAGCTCGATGCACCAGAAATGTGGGCTAATGCTGCAGCCAATGCATCCACTGCCCCTTTCTCTTCTATCAGTCTCTGAGCTGATGGTCGGAAAAAATCAACAGCAGCATAAGAAACAGAAGCCAGAGACCTATGGTTTAAAAATAGTAAATTTTCTTGGTCAAGACACAGCGAAAAAAATGAAAGATAAGAGAATAAATGGGAAAAAGAAAGAGTAACATTTTTGTATTTTAATATAACTAAATGTCTGCTGGTAAAACTGGTGATTAAAATTTTCTGATATTTGAACTAGGAGAGCTTAAAGATGAATAGCCTAATACAAAAGAAAAACTTATTCAGCAAGGTCAGAAAGCATACCTGATGGCATCCATGCTTTTAGATTTAACTAAATCCATTGTAGAAGGAACACCTACACGTTTAAAAGTAATTCCCTGAAAATGAAAGAATTACATTAAAGAAAAATGGAAGTCTTTACAATTAATTCCTAAATTAATATAGTTTGCTGAATTTCCATTTCATGGATTTAAAGATTTTCAAGATCTGCTTAAAGATTAAAAGTTCTGCTTTTGCTAATAGTTCATCAATTACAAATTCCAGAAAGAGAAAGTGTTCTGAATTGCTCCTTAGTTATAATCATGGAATTTCACTTGCAAAACAAAGCTGATTCAAAGAAAAGGAAAAAGATGTTGTTTAAATCTATCAACATTTTTTTTTCTTTATTAGCCCATCTCATTTTACAAAGCATGAAATAGCATATAAAAGCAGACATTATAAAAATGGGAAAAAATGGGAAATACCATAAAAAATCCAGACCACAGAAAATGTATAATTTCTTACAGAAACTGGCTATTGTACCATTACTCAGTATAATCTTAACTATTACACCAAGACAATGTCACAGTCACCTATTTACAATGCTGGACTGAAATCACAATACACTTCTGATTTTAGTATCAAGGGAGAGATTCAAAGGGAAAAATGAGAAAAGTCAGCTCTTCTGTCTTCACAATAAAAGCTGTATTAAAACAAAGTCTTGCAGCTAATATGAATTTAATTCTCCACATGCTTCACCATCCAAATGCAGCTTAAACTGAGAAAGGTTATGAAGATCTATTTGTGAGAACAAATATTTTAAAAGCTCTTAGAAGGGCACCATTTAGATAATAAGCCTGAAATAATTTAATTCTACTTACTGCTTTTTGTTCCACATATCTTAATTGACCTCTTTCTCTTGGTTGATAAAAACACACGCAAATTCCTGTCCGGCCAGCTCTACCTGTGCGTCCAGAGCGATGGATATAGGACTCAACATCCTAAAAATACAAGAGGTAATACCTTTTAAAAATCTGGCAAGTTCTGCAGTTATTCCAGCATTCAAATAATAATGCACATCCTAAAAATACAAGAGGTAATACCTTTTAAAAATCTGGCAAGTTCTGCAGTTATTCCACCATTCAAATAATAATGCTAATAATAATAATAATTTTATTTCAACACTTGCTCTTTTCAACATGCCAAATAGTTTATGTGCTTGAATTTTGGGGTAAAGGGGATATGATTTAAAACCTTCTTATCCACCTCATCCCAGGGTTCTTTTTTTTTTTGAGCTGGTATGGGGATCTAAAACCTTTACCTTGGTATTATAATACAAAGCTCTAACCAACTGAGCTAACCAGCCAGCTCCCAGGGTTCTTTATATGGCAACCTTTTATAATTCCCTTGCATAATTTTGTTGTTTCATGCTTCAAATCCAAACAATAGAGTCTGGCTGGTTGGCTAACAAAAAATGGCTAAGAGCAAGAACAAATGACATATTTTTCACATCCCAAGCAATATACCTTATAAATAAAATGCAACTTACAAAATTGCTCTTATTTACCCCAAATCAAATCCCATTTCCTACCTGTGGAGGAGAACTTTGAATCACCAGGTCAACCTCAGGAATGTCCAAACCACGGGCAGCCACATTAGTTGCCACCAAAACTTTAAAACTACCTTCTCTGAAGCCTTTCAGTGTAATTTCTCTTTGTGACTGTGCAATGTCCCCATGTAAACACTGAGCATTCTATTTGAAAAAAAGGGGAAAATTAAGTGTTCAGCTCATCCTTGCAACTGATGGAACCCTAACACCATCTAGTCTGTGCTCTTTTTGCACTGTTTTTTAATCTTGTTTTCTTATAATTATAACAATGTACATTTATTGTTTTGAAAAGAAATCAAACAGTACAGAAAATATTTAACATAAAATGTAAAAGCTTTCCTAATACCAGCCTCTTAGAAACAATTCACTGCTGACATTTTGGTGAATATTCTTTCAGATTTTTAAAAAATCTGACACACACATTCACTCTCACATACATACACTAGCAAATACTATAGTTTTATGAATTTATTTCTAAGAATGGCATCATACTATATATGTACTGTTTTGTAACCTACTTTATAAATTTAGTATATCTTAGCCATTTTTCCACATCAATAGATGTAATTCTACTTAATTTTTAAAAACTATACGATTTCGGGCCGGCCCCGTGGCACACTCGGGAGAGTGCAGCGCTTGGGAGTGCAGCAGCGCTCCCACCACGGGTTCGGATCCTATATAGGGATGGCCGGTGCGCTCACTGGCTGAGCGCTGTGCGGGCGACACCAAGCCAAGGGTTACATTCCCCTTACCGGTCACAAAAAAGACAAAAAAAAAAAAAAACTATATGATTTCTTCATATAGATGCAGTATCATTTATTTTAGCAATATCCTACAGATGAGCATTTGGGTTATATCTAAATTTTCTCCTTTAAAAACAATGCTGCAGGGGGCCGGCCTGTGGATCACTCAGGAGAGTGCGGTGCTGATAACACCAAGGCCACGGGTTTGGATCCCATATAGGGATGGCCAGTTTGCTCACTGGGTGAGTGTGGTGCTGACAACACCAAGCCAAGGGTTAAGATCCCCTTACCGGTCATCTTTTTAAAAAAAAAAAAAAAAAACAATGCTGCAATGAAACCACCTTGTACTTATATCTCTGGATGCCTAAGTATATGTATTTTTCAGTTGGATACATATCGAAGTTGAATTTCTGGGTCAAAAATTATGAACATTTAATATTTTATTTTATTTTAATATTTTGTTGTGTGTGTGTGTGGCTAGCTGGTACAGGGATCCGAAACCATGACCTTGGTGTTATAAGGCTGCATTCTCAACTACTGAGCTAACCGGCCAGCCCAACATTTAACACTTTAATTGCTATTGCCAAACTGTACTATAAAAAGAAGTTGTGCCCTATTTACTCTTCAACATTCTGTGAGTGTTTATTTCATCATACCCTATCCACCATGTATATTATGAGTCGTTATAATCCTTGTGAATCTAACATGCAAAAATGTTTTCCAATGTTGTTTTAATTTGCATGTCTAATTTTTAGTGAAGTTGAACCTATTTATATTGGGTTGATCTTCCATTTGTACTGCAAATAATTTTCCTAACATTTTAAATAAATTTCCTTGTATTCCCAGCCACTATTAAAGTTAAAAAGTTCATAACAATGACTTAACCCCAACAGTATCTAAGCCTTAGTGTATAAGCTTAATGTATACATGAGTGAATTCATTGAGCATATCCTATGTACCTGGGATTATACCAGGTTTTGGAACATTCATGAAGAAATGCGGTGGCGCTCCCGCCGAGGGTTCGGATCCCACATACAGACCGGCCGCTCACTGGCTGAGCGAGGGGCGGGGGCAACACCGAGGGTTGCGATCCCGTGGCCGGTCCCGGTCCAGTACGGGCGCGACACTGAGGGTTGTGATCCGTTGCCGGTCACGAAAAAAGACAAAAAGGAAAAAAAAAAAAAAAAAGAGAAGAGATATATATGACTTCCAGATTTTGAGCTTCTACAACTGTAGGAAATAAATGGACCATTTTAAACCACAGGAGATAGAATCCAAAATACTTTGTAATTAACTGGGTGGCAAATGATGAGGAAGAAAAGTCAAGGGTGATAAATAAATTTCTGGCTTAGACTATGGGTAGACATATTATTCAACAATAGGAAATGATGGAGACAGAGTGGGTATAGGAGTGTAGAAAAAAAATGAATTCAGTTTTAGGTATATAATGGGTCGGGCTCTCTGTGGCCAGTAGGATAACAAAGGTCTAGTATTCTGAAGGCAGATCTAACTGGGAAAAAGATGTGGGCACCATCAGCATATGCACAATGACTGGAGCCATAATAGTGATTAGATATGAGTACGAGGGTACTTCAAAAAGTTTGTGGAAAGCAGAATCAAAAGATAATACAAATCTTTCCATGAACTTTTTGAAGTACCCTCATATGTGTGTCTATATAGACAACTATACTTCTATATTCCTACATTTACTGCCCTGTGCTACAAAAACACTGTGCTAAATGCTTTAAATAAAATAAATAATTTCATTTAAATCTTAAAACTGTAAAAACAAGTGGTTTTTAAAGACCACTTCTTAAAAAGAGGAAACATGGGCACAGAAATATGAAGTGACTTGCCCACGGTTACATGGCTAGTAAGTAACACAATTGGGATTTAAACCCTGATCTGACTTCAAAGTCTGTTATTAATCACTAAACTTTTTTTTCCATGAAAAATATGTAGAGTGAGAATCATAACTGTGAGGAATGCCAATATTTAAAGTACAGGTAAGAATACAAAAAAGCTCAGCAGAAACTGGAAAAGTTTAGCCAGAAAAGGCAGAAAACCTGTGTGGTGATCATAAAACCCAAGTTAAAAGAAATGTTTCAAGAGAGGAAACATTACTTTCTTATTTTTTTAAAAGTTATAAGCAAACACACTTTAAGTTGGAGAGTTTTTCATAGTGATTTTCAAATTCACTTTTAAAAAGTTCAATGCATCTGGGCCGGCCCGGTGGC